ACGTATTATCTAACCACTGTCGTACTGGGAGAACATAGTGAGGAGGAGCTCCGTCTTGTTGAAAATGTAATTCATTCTCATCAAGTAAGGCATTTTCTTCTCTATCCAACTGATTCTCGAGAGCTTCCGTAATTAGTGGATTGATAGTATTTTCTAACATATCCAAGTACACTTCGCCGTTTAAATTTCCATCGATAAACACTGGACCAATCACTTGGTCTCCCAAAATGCCGGCCCATACATTAACTTTTTCAGGATATTGTGTATGCCCTTCTACAGTCAGATGAGGGTTTTCATTACTCCAATATCTGCAGTTATGTTTATTTACAAATCCATTTAAAGAAAAAGTGCATTCATCACTAAAGCAGATATTTTTCACAAAAACGTTGTTATTATTAATAATAGTGGTCACTTCTTCACAAAACTGTATTCTCCTGTCAAAATCGTCTTCAGTTAGCTCTTGATGTATTTTCAATTTATAAGGATGGAATTTGTGAAGTTTTACAACTTTATGAACAGAACCCAAGGATATACCAGTTGCACGAGATACCTGACGCAATGAAGTATTGGGGTTGATACCGAAATGACCCAACACTTCCAGTTGAGCGGTTTCATTCAAAACTCTCGACTCATTATGTTTTATGTTGGCAACGGACCCAGTCTGAGTGAATTTCTTCATGATCTGGATGCCTTTCATTAAAAACTGCGGCAGTTCGTCGAGCACATTCATTTTGGGATCCATACATTAATACAATTTCAATCCTTTCCTGCAAACTGTAAACCATTATTGCTGTTTTATTTAAATAACTTTGTTAAGTGGATAACACAAAGTTGTTTAAGTAATAACCAAATAAACTTATGTTTAGAATTGCACTTTTATTTTATTCTTTTCTCGCACTGTGAGCCTGCCTATAACTCGTTTATAGAAAGAGAAAAATTTCGTCTCTTTTTTTCCTTTTTTTGGCCATTCGAGTCAAGAGTAATTTTCATACAGGTTTAATGTAAAATACTTTCAATAAAATTTAGTTTAATTCATAATTATACGTGTTTAGTTTTCTTAAATATTTCCGATTGCTCCGAAATAATAAAGGTTTAATGGTCGTTGTAAAAACGAACATGGTAATTTAATTTTATAAATTAATAATAAAAGATTACTTATTCTTGCTTTTAAGAAGGTGATTAAAGTTTTTAATATTAATTAAAGCGGGAAATACAAAACAAAGATTTTCGCAAAAATTTCGAAAACGAATCGATCAATTTAAAAAAAATAAATACTAACATGTAGTACCTTAAAAGACCTTTAAAATGAGGTATCACTTGACACCCCTTTCCATTTAAGATTTTTAAGGGGTTGGTTTCTGGCGGCGGGGGGTTGAAGTGAGTGAGTCAATTTTTGCATAAAAAGTTGTCCCCCTTGGTTTTATTCTTTACCTATTTCAGCTACTTTCTTTTTAAACTTCCGGATTTACAGAAATTGAGGTGGAAAGTTTTGAAATTAACACCTGTATAAAATAGATATCCAAGCCTTTCTTTTTAGAATATCCCCCGAATTTATATCGATTGATTCCATACTTTATGTACACAATGTATGTAGTTTGTTAATGTTGTTAGATTTTTAAAATGAAACCATTTCGTTGATTTTATTTCATGTTTTTAACAATTGTTTAATATACAGGTTGGTCCGTTACTAATGGGACACAGAGCAACAGTGAATTCCTTACATTAAATTATTACGATTTAACCCAATGTTAGTCAAATTGTTAATAATAACGAAGATACAGATGGTTAAAGTTAATACTTTGTTTTCGTTTTTCTTTAATAATTTCGTATTGTCTTACATTATAAACATGAAAATTGGTACAATGTCATTTTTTATGACGATAAACAATAATTTGGTATCAATTTTGATTTATCTTTCAGATGGTGCTGCCTGCCTGAAAAAACTCTTCGTCATATCGTTTTCATCGTTAAATGCCCTTAAATAGTGATTATCTTGGAAACAGAGAACTTTAGAGAAGATTGGCAGGTATACCAAATTTATTTAAAAATAGCTGAGAAACTGTTTCAAGATGTGCGAGTTGTAAAAATTTTAACGATGGAAAAAGTATGACTACTTTATACGCATTGCCACCTTTGAAATGACAAAAAAAAACGATCTTTTTTTGCTTAAAAGTGTTCTTTATACTGTCTAGAATGAGAATCCATTGACAGAAAACATTTGCGGAATGTTTTTCTGCCTAAAAAATTGATTTATGTAACATACCTCACCGGAAATTCTAAGATTTCTGTAACCACTTTTTGTTTCATTTTTTATCCATTGTATATGCAGGTATTTTGACCTTGTTGTTAAAAAGTTAAAAAAAAAAAACAAAAAATATAATTTTTCAAAAACGCTATTGGAGTGCGCTTTCGGGTACCTGAATAAACAATTGCATCACAAAAACTCATTTTCGTAGAAAACTTTACCCGACTTCTATCGAACAAAGGGGTAATTCCAAATATAAAGTCAAAAATTTGTAAAAAGTGTAGTTACTGGAAAGGTAAAGAACTGCGGATTTTCAAGATCGGGTCGAAGATCATAAACAAATATGTGATATAAACCATGTCGGATCTTCAGGAAAAATGGAAGTGGACTCCGTCGTAGAGATGTTTCAACGATCCGGAGAAAAACATAATTTGAAGTACTGTTTTTACGTAGGAGACGGAGACAGCAAAACCTTCAAAGGAATTATGGACGCTCAGCCCTATGACAGTGTAATAGTAACCAAAAAAGAATGCGTCGATCACGTTCAGAAACGAATGGGCACACGGTTACGAAATCTAAAAAGAAACACCCGCGGATTAGGAGGCAAAGGAAAATTAACAGGAAAATTAATTGATAAACTTTCCTTATATTATGGATTGGCTATTGACAGAAATTGCGATTCCGTGAAGGACATGAAAAAAGAGATCTGGGCTACTTTGTATCATAAAATTTCAACAGATGAAACTCCAAAGCATGACAATTGTCCAATTGGTGCTGACTCGTGGTGTTCCTGGAAAAAGCGTACGCTTTGTCAGAAATCGATGAGTACAGGGTGTCCAAATTTCGATGGGTTTGCAGGGTATCTCAGTTATTATGAAAGATAGAAAGTTGCGGCTCAAATACTAAATACTCAACTTCTAAAATACTTAACTCTTTATAACTCAAAAACCGTGATGACTAGAAAAATTCTACGTGCAGCATTGGATTCTACGTGAAAAAATCTATTAGAACACGTTTTTACATTTCCGGATAGCCGAGATACAGGAGGTGTCTGAAAATCGTAAATTTTGAAACACACCCTGTATATCAAAAACGAAAAGGGCTATGAAAATTTGGTTTGCGCCATTGTAAGTTTCACAAAAAAGTAGCTCAGGTTCGCGAAAGCCGCAACTTTCTATCTTTCATAATAACTGAGATACCCTGCAAACCCATCGAAATTTGGACACCTGTACACTCACAAGCCAACAATCGGCAATGATGTTTTCAACGCAGTGAAACCTGTGTACGAAGAACTATCAAGGGAAGATCTTTTGACAAGATGTTTAAGGGGATATACGCAAAACAGCAATGAAAGTTACAACATACGTAACAACATGACGTTATGGTCTATCGCACCAAAAACTATTCATAGTGGCAAGAAAGTGGTTGACATTGCGTCTGATATAGCTGCCTGCAAGTTTAATGACGGTCTTACAAGCATTATGGAAATAATGTAAGCACTGAAATTAACAATTGGAAGATCGTGCTTCGACTTTTGTCATGAAATGAGGCTAAAAAAACTCGTAGAAGCCTACTTTCAGACAGAAAAACTGCAAAAGATGAAAATAAGCTTCAGAAAGGACAGCTGTATGGTGCAGGAATCGCTGATTAGATGTTCTAGAAAAAATATACAATTTTTTACATTCGAAAACTTTAAACGCGTTTTTCTGGAAACTACATTTTTCAAATCTGTGCACACCATAACTTCCACATTTTTCAACTTTTTTTTTTCAAAAGTTTGTATTATCTTATTCTAGGTAAGTACGTAGCAGTTTTTCGATATGTCTCAGATTCTCTGTTTTACAACCATTTTTATGTACGTTTTTTATCGATAAATCCGACATTTCTTGTAAAATCGTCACCATTTCGTCAAAAATGAATATTTTTTAAAAATCCTACGTAGTTCCCTAGTTTTTGAGTTTACTAAAGTAATCGTATTGAAGTTTTAATTATTCGACTTACGCGTTAGGAGAAATCCTACGCACAGTTTGACCCTGCACGATTTGTAAGCCTAACATTACCGACATCCAGCGGATGCAATTTTAATAACTGTTAATAAATAAAATATGTATTTAAAACTAGAAAAGTGGCTTATTCACACCCTGCAACCCGTTTTTAGAAAACTTCTTTCGTCTGATTGCAAAAAAATTTTAAAAATACCTATTATTTTCGGGTCTTCAAGGTGGCATACCCCCTTAAGAGAGTTTTTTAGGGTAGGCAGCGCCATCTGAAAGATAGATCAAAACTAATACCAAATTATTATTTATCGTCTCAAGAAATAATAATGTACTAATTTTCATGTTCATAATTTAAGCAAGAGAAATTATTAAAGAAAAACGAAAATAAAGTATTAACTTTACCCATCTGTATCTTTGTTATTATTAACAATTGGTCTAAGATAAATTGGGTTTAATCGTAATAATTTAATGTAAGGAATTCACTGTTGCTCTGTGTCCCATTAGTAATGGACCACTCTGTATATTAAATATTTTTACTTTAGTAAAATGGGTGTTTTATTAAAAATAACGTAATACTTATTAATGCAAACCTGTTGTCATAAAATATATGACACGCACCCAGTCATGTAATAAAATCGAGTGCGCCAACTAGAAATTTAATACGGACCTGTTGTCATAAAATTTATGACACGCGCTCGCTCATGTTATAAAATCGAGCGCGCCCGCTCAAAGGTTAAATAAAAAAAATACTTGCATACTTTTTGTGAAATTGGTGAATCGGTAACATTGGGAGATGCACGCGTTTGCAAATTAACAATATATTCATCCTCCTGGACCACGGATTGTGTCCGAATGCATTCACACAACCACTCCAAACTAACGACGGGGGCGGAATGTTTTTTATACAAAGCGCGGGCATCGTTTAATGTGGGATCACCAACAATTATATGAGTTATCCGATCAGATAATTGATCGTATCTTGTTGCACCTCCCAAATTTAAAATTCTTGAAACCTTTTCGCGTTGATCCGGTGAAAATCCCGCTATAAAAACCTAAGGAAGATATGAATTAACTTTAATTAAAATAAATATCAAATGATTTACACAACACCCGTCTAAAAAACTTCCAGCTTGTTTAACCGACTTTATATCAATTCCATCGATGATATCATTAACATCATTTAATGTAGAACTTCTTCTCTTTCTTGTTTGAGAAAGTGATGAATTTGAGTTCGACATAGATAAGTTTACGGTTTCTTGTAAAACACTCAGGTAAGGCGTTACGGAACTAATCGCACTCATCACTGAGAAATCAGGATTTATGTTTTCACGATTTTTCGTTGGAGTGGAAGTCGGTTTTTTAATTGTATATTCTTCCACTTTAAGTGCATAACCGTTTCTTACACTATCTAATAACCAATCGTAAGAAACGCATTTTATTTTATTTGTTTTCCTAGCTACTTTGTATTTATCCGAAGTTGTTGGACCATTACAAATAAGTATATCTGTAGTAGCACAATGTAATTGTCCGGAATAAGTACCTCCATTCTCAGTAATTAACCTTTTTAACTTCTCCCGTTCCTCCATATTCGTAAAACCAGTAGTACTTATTTTTAAATTTTTAAAAGTTGGACAAGAATATGTTTTAAATCGTTGATCGTTGCAATGAACGTTTTCTGTTTGAGACAATTCCCAAACAACATCCACCCAATCAGGTAACATTATTTTTAAACCCAGCTCCGCAGCTTTCTAAAAAAATAATATAAAAAATTTTTTTTATATTATTTTTTAATTTTAATTTTGGTAAAATTCAAGAATCATCATGTCGCTTAAAAATCAACAATTTTTTTTTAATCGACGAGAAATCACTCAAGTAAGCCGTTACAAATAAAAAAAAGTGCGGAAAAGTGTAAAATTTACCGAAAATCACTTTAAAGTTTCGACGTGACATCGACCGTGCTAACCATATATGTATTTTCGCAGCACATTTGGTTAAAACGCATATTTTTGGGTGAAATACGGTTGTTTCTTAGGTTTTCTATAAACTAAAGATAACCTTTATAATCTTTAAACGATACATTCGGATCCACCTAATTTACTGATTTATTTCAGAATTTTGTGTAAAAATTCCACGTTGAGTTAGGTTAATTAACATTTAAACCGGTGCGAACTTCTTAATTGTCGGTTTGGGCATGGAGCAGAGGGCGGGTTGTAAATTCCGGGTTGGGTTAGACCAGATACTTTCTAGTTCTAGGTATAGTGTTAGTTCTAGTTTTAAACTAGCACTATCACTAGACCTAGAACTAGAATCTTTCGGGTTTAGCCGTCTTGAGAGACGTGCGCCTAAACCCGAATGTTTCTAGTTCTAGGTCTAGTGTTAGTTTCAAATGTTGTTTAGCGTTAGATTGTGGTATATTTTTATTGAAAGTAAAGTAGAACTAAACTAGACCTTGAATCAGAAACATTCGGGTTTAGCTGTGCGTCTCTTAAGACGTATAAACCTGACTGTTTCTAGTTCTAATGTTAGATCTAGTGGCAGTGGTGGGTAGCACTAGTCAGCATAAGATATCGCTATGTTGCATATTTTTATTGCACTAAAACTAGAACAAGTTTTGTCTTCAGACGCACAGCTAAACTATTTTATTTAAACTATTTTTAATGTGTCATAGTAAAGTGACCAAATGTGCTAGACAGCCGTTCTCAGCACCAAAACATACTCCATCATGTTGCTTAAGCATGTTCTGAATCTTAAATTGATATCCCAAAAATCGAGTGTTCTCTGACTTTTTGAACAAATGTCTGCTGGAGCAGATTTATCTAGAAAAATTCGAATAACTCGAGAACAGCCGAATCAAATTGCAAAAAGTAAAGTTATTCATAAACCTTGAAAATAGACAAATCCAAATATGTAAAAATATACATACTTTTTTGGACCACCCGTATATGCGAAAATATTTTCCAGAAATAAATTCATATACAGTGTGTCCCAGGATAGATGTTACAAGAGATATGACTTAAAATTTTTTGAATTTTATCTTAAGGCTGAGGAATTAAGCTCTGCTTGGTGCGGAGAGAATTTTAAGTATATTTTCATATTCTGAAAATCAACTCGGCCCTGATAGTCAAGTGAAAACTATTTTTAGTTCAGGTAAAGTAACCTTTTTGTTCATGATACTGAAAAATTTTATTAAGAAAAGTTGTTCAAAATGTGAAAGTATGTTGATATGCAAAATTTCAGAAAGATCTATCTACTTTGGTTGAACCATCACATTTTAGTTTAAATGACATAAATATTGTATAATTTTATTTTATTTATAGAAAATCGAACGTAAACTTAACTGTCGTTGATTCAACATAACATCCACCTTTTGTTGCACACTTTTCTATACGATGCCTAAATTCTCTAAAGCTGTTCTGAATTTTTTCCCATGAAAGAAATCTAATATTGTAAGGTCGGGTGACCTTCGAGGCCACGCAATTGGACCATTTCTAGATATAATCTTTTCTCCAAATATTAAATTTAACCATTCAGCTACACGTACTGTAGAATGTGCAGAGAATGTGCGTGTTGGAAGTAAATTGCCTGTCTTTCTATCAGCAAAAAAAAAATTCTTATCTAAAATGTAGTGGTTTAATCAATGTAGGTAGATCTTTCTGAAATTTTGCATAGTGCCACAATTTCTTATTCTGAACAACTTTTCTTAATGATATTTTCCATATCAGGATCAAAAAGCTTACTTTACCTGAACTAAAAATAGTTTTCGCTTCACTATCAAGACCGAGTTGATGTTCAAAATATGAAAATATACTTAAAATTCTCTCCACACCAAGCAGGGCTTAATTCCTCAGCCTTAAAATACAATTCAAATTTTTTTAAGTCATTATACCTCTGTAACATCTATCCTGGGACACACTGTATATAGTACAAGTCTGCGTTTGAAAGAAATTCCTAACTTAATTGGTATAGGAGCAATGGATGCCTGACGCATTGTTGCAGGACCCTGTATAATATGTTTCTTTTTTCCCCATTTTGAACTTTTATTGTATTTTGTATTGTATCATTTTATTGCGCCTTTTCTCGGTTTCTTTTTCTTTTTGGACATGTGTCAGTATTTGTAGCACGAATAAACTATTCTATTCTATTCTTGACCTAGAACTAGAAACATTCGGGTTTAGACGTCTTGAGAGATGTGAGGCTAAATTCGAATGTTTCTAGTTTTCAGTTTAGTGTTAGTTCTAGATCTAACTAGTTCTAGATCTAACAACAGGTAGTCAGTTGTTATACATCAAAAGACTAAGAAAAACAAGGGTGTTTCATCCGTAAATATACGTTGTAATCTCACCTAGTTTAGTGAAAATAACTTTACTCTTAAGTATATCAGATTGATTTTGTGTGTGACTATAAAATAAACAATTTGTAGGTTAGATAATTTGGCCATTTCAGATTGATTAAAAAAAAACGTCGATTTTTAAGCCACATGATGATTCTTAAATTTTTCCTTAATTTGTTTCATTCATATAACTTACAACATATTTTTCAGTTTTAACACTATCAGTTATTAAATGTGTGTTAGGTTCAAATAATCCCTCAGTAAATTTACCACCCATCAACTGGATTTTTTCTTTAAGACAATCTCGTTTTGATTTATTAATATGTGAGGTGCAAACAACGCAATCTGACATTGCCATATTAAATACTGGCCAAGAAAAATTTGGTACTGGACGTCCATCGGTTAAACAAATTAACAAACAATATGCACCAACGATTCTACTATAACATATTCATTAATTAATAAAAAAAATTAATGAATCGAGTTAGACGTACCTTGCTTTCGAATCTTTAATTTTTTCGTAACAACTCCCTTCAAATTTATCAAATACAACAAATTCTGTCTTTTGTAGTTCGGCTTCTGTGAAACTGTTACCATCTCTAATCCATTCAACATTCATAGAATTTCCTTTACATGCCTAAAAGAATAAATAAAAAACAATCAACGTTAACCTCAAAATATTACTAAAAAATAAATTGATTACTTGAAACGCAGATTGCATTACTTCCGAACATTGGTTTTCACTATTATATTCTTCGGGGATAATAAAAATAATCCGTACATTTGTAGACATATTAATATTTATTTGATAACAACCAACACAACCGTTAAAACCTCTTTTCTTTTAAAAACACGTCAAACGTCAAATCTTTTAGCCTAAATCAATTCCAACATAAAAAGTAAAAATCCCCACAAAAAAAATTATTATTTATTTATAAATAATAAGACTAATTTGTATTATTTTATTAATAAAACGTTAAAATGTGGTTAAAAATGATGTTCTTATTAATTTTTATTTTTTTTATCAAAAAAAAAATAAAAAAAATAACTAAATAAAAAATAAAAATAATATTAATAAAAAATAATTAAAAAAAAATTATATTGACCTTCAGCTTCAGTTTATCTGGATCATTTTTTTTGTTTATTTATTTCTTTGGGATGCCAACAGGGAAACCCCCAATAGCGGCATCCACTAGCAATAAAAACAAACATTATTATATGACAATTCGTTACTAATACTAACAACAATCCACTAAAATTGTACATTTAATAACAATCCATTAAATCAGTAACAATATCAGGACCTTGCCACAACCATGCCCCGTAAAAATCGTTTAAGAGGCCTACCTAGCTGGCGAAAAATTCGAAACGAGATTCCCTCGTAAACACGCCTAATGCGGCAACACCGCTCCACGTGTACTCGATCGGGCTGGCGCGCCAGGCCGATGGCGACTAGGACTGTCCGATTGTCGGGTAATTCCCCGACAATCAGCGACGTTGATTTTATTCTTAGTTGAATGCATTTGAATACGAGTCGGGGCCGCTTTTTGGAACATAACTGTTATTACTAGTATTTCATTATTATCGATTGTTAGTTAAAATTATATATTTTCTCGAAAAGGAATGTTGGTGGATGCCGATCTTATCAGCTTCCTCATTATAAAATTACACAGCATACCAAATTTTACCTGTATATGACAAATCATTGAAATTATTGAAGGTAATCTATACCTTAGCCATTTATTGATTTATACAGGGTGATTTATCAGCTCACCATCCAATCCTAATCCTAATCCAATTACAAAAAAAAATGTTAATGAACATATGTCTTTTTAATTATTTTCGAAATTATAACACTTTAAAGTTTTAATTTTTATATTATAATTAACTGCTACATTTTTTTAAAACACATAAATATTACAAATATTGTTCAAAATAACCTCCTTCTGAAGGTCGAATACATGCTTCACAATGATGAATTAAAGAGTTCTTCAACCGAATTAAAATTAAAATGTCTGGTTGATTTCTTGTTTCAGTAGCAACCATTTGTATTCTGTTTAATAACTATTCTCGTGTGTTAATTTCCACTTGATACACAATTTGTTTCATATGATCCTAAGTGGCCAAGCAAATGAACCATTATTACCAATCCACTTGTTTGGAAAATATTGATTTAACCACTCGACAATTACTCTTCCGCGATGAGGTGGGCACCATTGTGCTGGTACCACATATTTTGAATTACATTAAGAGGTATATCTTCAAGTAAATCAAAAATTGTATTGTTCAAAAAAATCTGTAATTTACAGCGTTCAAACGTCCATCAAGTACATGTAAACTTAGTAAATTGTTAAATATTCCACCCCAAACGTTGATCCTGAAACGTTGTTGAAATTTTCTTGGTCTAATCGCATGCGGATTTTGTAATGCCCAGATATGTTCATTATGGTAATTATTTATACTATCTCGTGTAAAACATGATTCATCTGTCCAGAGAACATTTGAAATGAAGTCATTATGTTGGGCATGTTACTGCAATAACCATTCACAAAATGCTAACCGTTGCTGATTATCTCCTGGCTGTAGAGCTTGAACGTTCTGTTTACGATACGGATGAAGGACTTG